CTAGTCAGCCTCACTTCTGTGCCTGGTAAAATCATGGAGCGGATCCTCCTGGAAGACATGTTGAAACATATGGAAGACAGGGAGGTAATTAGAGACAGCCAACATGGCTTCACCAAGGGCAAACTGTGCATCGGTAAAGAAGGCAAGAACTACAGATGTCATCTACCTTGACTTCTGTAAGGCCTTTGATATGCCGCCCCCCAACCTTCTTGCCACTAAATTGGAGAAATATGGGTTTGACAGATGGACTGTTAGATGAATAAGGAACTGGCTGGATGACTACGTCCAAAGAGTTATAGTCAAAGGCTCAATGTCTAGGTGGCAACCAGTAATGAGTGGTGTCCCATAAGGGTCCGTATTGGGACCAATACTATTGAATATTTTCATCAATGACATAGGCAGTGGGATTGAGTGCACACTCAGCAAGTTTGCAGATGACACCAAGCTGAGTGGTACAATTGATTTGCTAGAGGGAAGGGATGCCATCCAGAGGGACCTTGATAGGCTTGAGGAGTGGGCCCATGTGAACCTCATGAAGTTCAACAAGGCCAAGTGCAAGGTTCTGCACATGGGTTGGGGCAATCCCCAATGTCAATATAGACTGAGGGATGAATGGATTGAGAGCAGCCCCATGGAAAAGGACTTGGGGATAGACACTGGTAGATGAAAAACTGGACGTGGGCTGGCAATGTGCTCTTGCAGGCCAGAAAACCAATCACATCCTGGGCTGCATAAAAAAAGAAGCTTGGCCAGCAGGTCGAGGGAGGCGATTCTCCCTCTCTATTCTGTTGTCATGAGACCCCACCTGGAGTACTGCATCCAGCTCTGGGGTCCCCAGTACAAGAAAGACATGGACCTGTTAGAGCGGGTCCAGACGAGGGCCACGAAAATGATCAGAGGGCTGGAACACCTCTCCTATGAAGAAAGGCTGAGAGAGTCAGGGTGGTTCAGCCTGGAGAACAGAAGGAGACCTTATTGCAGACTTTCATTATATAAAGGGGGCTTATAAGTAAGACGAAGAGAGACTTTTTGCTAGGACCTGCAGTGACAGGTCAAGGGGCAACGGTTTTAAACTGAAAGAGGGTAGATTTAGATTTGATATAAGGAAGAAATTCTTTATGATAAGGGTGGTGAGATACTGGAACAGAGAAGTTGTGGATGCCCCATCATTGGAAGTTTTCAAGGTCAGGTTTGATGAGGCTTTGAGCAACCTGACCTAGTGAAAGATGTCCCTGTCAATTGCAGTGGGGTTGGACTAGATGATCTTCAAAGGTCCCTTCCAACCCAAATCATTCTATGATTCTATGATTCTCTTCTATGGTTTGAGTTTGGGTTAGGGTTAGAAGGGTTAGGGTTTGGCTGAGGAATAGGGGTCAGGGTTAGTGTTAGCATTAAAGTTAGGGGAAAACATACAAAATCATTGCTTTTGAAACACAGAAACACAGGTTGTGGTTATTTGACCTCATTGGGAATTGCCCTGCTCCCAGAGGGGGGAAAAAAAAAAAAGAAAAAAAAAGAAAAGAAAAAGATTGATTCAGAAAGGAAATGACTGATCAGAGTTTGTGATATCAGGCTAGAAAGGAGCTATATAAATAACACCAAATATATAAAACCCTCAGTAATGAAAGGTCTGAGAAGTGGGGCTAATCTAGAATATTCAAATGGAAATGAAACATTTTAAAATTTACTAGAAATGCCACATCACTGAGGTACTTTCCATTTATTTTCTTATCTGGTTTTAATGTTACAGCAAGTCATAATGTGTAGCTTGACTTATTTCATATTTTGTAATTGTCTGCATATAAATGACTCACTGGAATATGAAGCACAAACAGAGTGTAGATATTACCTGAACACACATTTTCTTTTGCCTGCTTCCAATACATTGCCTAAGTAAATTTTTAAAAGTACATTTATACAAATTCTTGTATGTGTCTCTTCCCTTGTTACCTAATCCTTTTTAATTAGGTATGTATAGTATGTGTGCTCTACCACAGTGCTTAAGCATCACCTAGCTGTTTCTAAATGGATGACAAATACAGACAACATGATTCAGCAGATTAATTTCTTGTAAGCTCTAAGAAATTCTAAATAGGTTCCATTGTCAAATACAATGAAGATCTACAGCATAACTAACCAGACAAATCTAAAACAAAGTCTTGCAGTGTTAACTTCTATCCCTCTGACTGGGAACAGTGTTGAAAACACATCTCGTTCTATTCTCCTCTTTGGGAAGCCATCAGAACTTTAGGCTTGGCTGCTTTAAAAATATTTCTAAGCTTGATGGCTAAGGACTAAGATAGTAGAGTTAGGCAAACAGCCTACTACATCTTCTTCCCACCCTAAGTACTCCAGAAAGGAAATGCTCACCGTCCCAAATGAAGTGCTTTGTTGACATCCATCTGGTAGAACACAGAGGATGTAGACAGGATTGACAAGCAGGCAAGCCTAAACCATGCCTGTTTTGCAGGTATTTGTGATACATTTCTGTTAAAAATAAATTCATCTAAAAAGGTGGAGAAAAAGAAAAAACATGTACTTGTAGTGTAGAAAAGTCTAGGCCATTTAATTCCATCTCAATGTGCCCTGTTGAGAAGTTGCCCTGATCTCAAGCAACAGATTTGAGCACTGGAGTACCATGGTTGGGTTCTGAAAATAAAAAGTAGAAGGTTTTGTAGAGTTTTTATAAAAAAAGGGAGAAGTAGTATCTGCAGAGAACTTGGAAACTATTTAGTTCCCAAGTTATGTGTGCTCTTGTAAGGGCTGACATAACAAAGAAACATCAGCAAAGGTCATGGAGTTGCTTTCACTGGCTGTCAGATGGTGGGGACTGCTGTGTGAAATGTTGGGATACACCACTAGCAGAAGTGACAGGGGAGCGTAGAGTAGAAATAATTGTCAGGCAAGGAAAGGAGAGAAAGGAACAGTTAGCTTTGAAGACCTCAACTTGCCTTAAAGTGGAACTTGAGACCCTGAAAGAAATCAAGATGTTAAATGTGAATGAAGGTTAATGCAGAAACGGGTTAACCTACTAGGTGACCAGATATCTCTCAAGATGAAGACTATAATATTGTTGCTGTTATAGTTCTTCCTAGGTATTCCTGCAATCTGGGCAAGTAAAACTTCAGTGGGCTGACCATCTAGTTCATCCTTATTCACCCCTGACTTATCAAGAATTTCCAAATCACCCCTCTAGGAATAATTTTTTTCCATCTTTGCAGTTGTTACTTTCTGACTACCTCCCCTTTTCCTGCTACACCTATGCGCTGGTTTGGGCTGGGATAGAGTTAATTTTCTTCATAGTAGCTAGTATGAGGCTATGTTTTGGATTTGTGCTGAAAACAGTGTTGATAATACAGGGATGTTTTAGTTACTGCTGAGCAGTGCTTACACAGAATCAAGGCCTTTTCTGCTCACCACACCACCCCACCAGCGAGTAGGCTGGGGGTGCACAAGAAGTTGGGAGGGGACACAGCTGGGACAGCTGACCCCAACTGACCAAAGGGATATCCCACACCATATGACATCATGCTCAGCATGTAAAGCTGGGGGAAGAAGAAGGGGGGGGGGACGACGACGTTTGGAGTTATGGCGTTTGTCTTCCCAAGTAACCATTACATGTGATGGAACCCTGCTTTCCTGGAGATGGCTGAACACCTGCCTGCAGATGGGAAGTAGTGAATGAATTCCTTAGTTTGTTTTGCTTGTGCATGTGGCTTTTGCTGACCTATTAAACTGTCTTTATCTCAACCCACGAGTTTTCTCCCTTTTACTCTTCCAATTCTCTCCCACATCCCACCAGGGAGAAGTGAGTGAGCAGCTGTGTGGTGCATACTTGCTGGCTAGGCTTAAACCACAACAACCTAACAGTCATCCCCCATTCTCCAGTGTAGACATACCCTCAGCCAGGGGTCTACTGATTAAAGTAGAGCCTGGAGTGATAAAGCACTATTTCTGCGGTCCTAGTGACCAATGGGCCCCATGACGCCTCTCAGACCAATCTGACAACAGCAGCCAATGGAAATGGGAACTCGCAAAAGACGAGGATGTAATATATTCACAGACATTGTGTAAGAGATTTGACACTGAACGATCATCCTGTTAGGATGACTTTTATCAGGGAAATACTACTCTGAAAAACACAGTGTACATCAAACCACAGTGCTGAGTTTATTGGTTGAAGATTTTAATTGGGTTTGATTATGTTGATGGGGATTGATTCTGCGGAACCCTGCTGCACTGGAGTGGTTTCTCTAGGAAAATCTTCAGCTGGTTTCTGCAAAGTGCACAGGGCCTGGAAGCAACACAGTCAGAGAATAACCTCTCCAGAAGCTATTGCTCTTTCTGTCAGCATGTAGACCCAAGGTTGTTTCTTTTGTTCTTTAATTTTTTTCATGATGACTGTATCGAAAAACAGCATCAAGGCCCTGTGAGCAGCATCCCAAGAGTATTTCAAAATCAAATGAAAGAAAGGCAATTTAGCTGATGTGGGGAACTTGCAGTGTGACAAACACACACCAGGCAACCCTGAGGAACCTACGAGAACAGCACTAGAAAACTGCCTCTGTAAATACTGCAGTTTTCAAGGACTGCAAGGAACCAGGACCACCACAGAGGCAAAGGTCCAAGTTGCCTGTAGGAAACAGGCATGTTGCACACGGACAGGTAAAGCAAGGTTTCCTCTCACTTTGTACTTCTTTGAACTGTTCCAGTCTCTACATAAACCCCTGCACAGCATGCACTAAGCTGAAATAGCCCTGGGCAAAGGGAGCCTGTCTGCATGAGGTGCCCGGTCTGACAGAGAGCTCCTTTCTCAAAACACTTTCGGTTGCCCAGCGCTTTCTGGGTGGCCTGCCTAGCACGGGAAGAGGAAAGGCCCGTTAGAGAGCTCCGTTCTCTCTACTTAGGTGACTGTTACTTTCCTCCCTCGCCATCGCGTCACGTTGGGCATAGCACTCCGCCTAGGGGCAGAGTCTTGGCCTGGCCCCTGCCAGGGGCTGATGGTTTCTGCTGCAAGGGGCCCCTTGGATTTGAAGAAAATCCCACGAGACATCGGGGAGGGTACCCCTGCAGATGTTTGGATTTATACATATGTCCTGGGGGCAACGAGAGGTTTTGCTCTGAGGTGAGATCTCCGGCGCCGGCGACCGCCAGTGCTGCAGAAGGAGGCCAGCCAGGCCCCGCCGGTGCGAGGTCGCAGGGCCTGCCTCCGCTGCAGGGCCCGCCTCCGCGCAGCAGGAGAGCGGCTGCAATGGCTGTTGCCCGCATGGAGCCCTTGGACCAGAGGCCGCACTTCCCCTGACTGACTCCTGCTCGGGCCCGCCCTTGGCCGTACCGCTAGCGGCGGGCGGTGCTGCGGCAGCGGGCGGGGCCGCGGCGGGC